TTGCTCCGTGGTGACGGCTCGTCTGTGGAAGAGAGGCCACAAGCCCACACCGCAGGGGAGTGGCATGGTTTGTCACGGTCGTTCTTCGGAGCTCGGAGTTGCCTGCACCCTGTCGCTGTCGTCTTCCTGGTGTTGCATTTTTTACATGCCGGAAGATTTCGCGCCAAAAAACACGCCCTGTTTGATTTATGGGCATAATTTAATTGGTATCATTTAGACAAGAGCCGCCAGATCCGACGCAATCCTGCTTTGGAGTCGAGCAAGATGTCCTCCATGTACGTGATGTATTCTTGATTTTCCATGACGCGCTCTTTGGCACGATTGGACTTTTTTTATTAACGATGTTAATTGTTGTTCCTGCAGGACCTCAAGAAGTCGCGGCGGCATGCCGCGAGTGTATTACTACCGCCTTCGGCAGCAGCCGGCTTCTGCCCTCGTAGATGCGGCAGATTCGGGCCTCCACTACCGCGGCCAACAGGGGAAGAATGGTGAATGTGAAGAGGGTGCCGGTGTCTATGGACACGCTACCGAGGAGATCCCCAACCAAAATCAGGTCTTCTCCCTCGAAAACGAAGAATCAGACGACTTCCTCGAGGAGGAGCTGCCCCACAAAAGTGAGTCCCTGCATCCCGCTTGATCTTGGTGCGGAGGGCTTCTGCTGACCCTTTCGTGTGCTATTTGCAGAGTATGTCGAGGAGAAGGAGCGAACGCAGCTTGGTGAGGAGCTCAGCCAGACAACGAGCTCGGTAGGCGAGTGGCTGCAGCAGGCGTGGACCCTGCTGCTCACCATCGCCTACCTGCTCATCGCTACTGGCACCTTCGTTCGAAAGCTCTGGACCACGGTTCGTACACGTAGCTAGCTTGCGGATTATGCGACTGACGTGTACGCTGACATGCTGATCCTATTCCAGAAAACGTACCGGTATGGGCTGCTCGTAGCGCTGCTCGTGGCACTGTTCCTCTACTTCTATCAGCCCACGCCCACCGTCGTGGAGGTTCCTGTCGCAAAGCCTGGCGTCGTGGTGATGCCTGGCGGCACGACTACTGTAGTTTACGATGACCGGCTCCCTCTCAACGTCGAGGTTTTTGTCAAGCGACTCGTCGAGCAACAGCTGGCTAAGAAACAGGACGACACTCTCTCCCGCGTCATGCAGAGTGCGTTTCCCCTTTCTGTGCCCGGCGATCCTGTGGCCGCTTTGCTCTGTCTCGGGAGTTCTGGCACTCTGATCCTCGCAAGCTAACCAGGCACACCTCTCTCGCTCTCTCTCTCTCTTTTCACTACAGAGCTCGCAGCCGACAAAGAGGAACTCAAGCGGAGGAGCAAGGAGGAGCTCCTCCATTACCTCGATGACAAGCTAGGCAAGATGGACGCTATGATCCGTGCCCACCTCGACACGCCCGCTACCATCAATGACTCCGTCTCTAAGGTACACAGGGATCAGCTTTCCTCCGTGGCAAACCCGAACTGACTGCCAAGCCCACCCAACGTCGGCGTACATAGGAACTGAAAGAGCTCGAGGCCAAAGTCGGGTCGGAGCTGCAGCACCTCAACGAGAAGCTCAGCAAGATGGACGTCACGGTCCGTTCGCGCCTCAACGCGCCTGCCACCACCGCCACCGCTGCAGCCCCCATCGCCGCTGTGGTCGACGGCTCAGTATCCCAGGTAGCACCACGCTGAGGCTCCTGTTCCTCCCTCCCCTCTCTGACTCCGGAACCTGTTTCTTTTTCTTTTCCTTTTTAGGAACTGAAAGAGCTCGAGGCCCGAGTGGAGTCGGAGCTACTGCGCCTGACGCGCGAGATGAAGAGTGGCAACGATGGATCGGCGGAGGCCAAGCGAAGCCTCCAGGCCCAACTCGACGCCCTTCAGCGCCGCGTTAGCGAGCTCACCGAGTCGGTTGACAGCAAGATCGAGGCAGCTCGGCTGTCGCAGGAGCAGGCCTCTGTGGCTCTGAGCGATGAACAGCTGCGCGAAGTGGTGCGTCTCGTCAACGCGAACCAGCGCGCCGTGGGCGCTCAGTCGCTCGGCGAGGACCAGGTGCGCGAGCTTATCCAGAAGGAGCTCGAGGTGTTTGCTGCCGACCGGCTCAACATGTCCGACTGGGCGCTAGGCGCCGCTGGCGCACGCATCCTCCACGCCTACACCTCTGACCGCTACGGCAGCTCCCTCCTCGGACACCTTCTTGGCCAAGTTGGCGAGCCTCCTTCGGCTCTCCTGACGGTATGTTCTCTCGTCTCTTTCGTCTCTGTCTTTGCCTTGTCGCCCTTCTCTCTTTTGTTTCCAGCCGGTGGCTTACCTTGGGTGTTTGGCGTACGGCCGGTGCTTCTTTTCCGCCTTTGCAGCCGAGCCTGGTGATGGGCCACTGCTGGGCGTTCCCGGGAGAGCAGGGCAATGCCACCATCCAGCTGCCTCGCCGCATCAAGCCCACCGCCTTTTCTCTCGACCACGTCTCCCGCGGCGTGGCTCGCGACTTTAGGAGTGCGCCGCAGCACTTCAAAGTCTGGGTACCAGCCCCCCCCCACCTGCCTCGCGCTCTTTTGTGTTGGCGCCCTCACCTCACGTACTTATTTCTTTACACACGTCCACAGGGCTACACCGACAAGGCGGCGGTTGCGGACGAGAGCAAGAGTGTCCTGCTGGGCGAGTACCGCTACGACATCTACGGGACTCAGGTGCAGACCTTCGCCGTGCAGCCCGACGCGCAACTCGACGCGGAGCAGAGCTTCAGCGTGATCAAGCTCGCTGTCTCCTCCAACTACGGCCACGAGGACTTCACCTGTGTCTACCGCTTCCGAGTCCACGGCGACGCCGTCTAGACTCCCCTTCTTCTGCCCTCTGGCACACCACTTTCTGAACAAATAAACACAACCCCCCCCCTTGCAACACGCGAGCGGCTCGTCCTGATTGTTGGTTCCTTCCGGCACTGCGCTGGCGGCAAAGTGAAAATCAGTAGAAAAGAGGACAAAGGGAAAATACAAATGGAAAGGAAACAGAAAAAGGGCGAGGGTGCTTGATGGCGCAACATAATGGGGAAGATCCGCTACGACGGCTTCGCGAAGACCCGCTGCTGCTCGCATACCAGCCAGCTGCCAGAGCTTCCAAGCGAAGCTGATGAGGCTTTCAACGCTCTCATACGAGAATGGATTGTACACTGCTACTCTCTGTCACGTTGGGGGCGGGTCCGTGCCTGGCTGAGAGCTGGCACTCACTATTTTGTTGCCCCCCCGGGCGTGCAGTTGACGTTGGTGGTCTTTCTGGGCCTCTACGTGGCATCCCACCTCACCCTACGCCGCTTTCGCTTCCGCTACCCCGGCGATGGTGCTCCCTCCTCCATAGCGCTCAGCTCGTGCGATCCGTTGGTCCGCGACCCGTACCTGGCGCTGACTGTGTGTGCATGCGCGTGTGCGTGTGCGGCACGTGCGCGGGAATGCGGATGGGCTGCAGCTGAGGAGCAGGACCGATGGCACATCCCGTGCGTACCTTCGTCCTGCCGTGGAGCTGCGCGCCATCTGCTCACGCTGTTGCTCTCGTTTGTGTCGGTTGCGGTTGGTTGGCCACCGTCGCAGGCTGGTCCTGTGCGGCGTGGGGCTGACGGTGGCATTCGGTGCGATGGTGCTGGTGCCCTTCACCATCCTGGGCCACGAGGCCATGGCCTCCTACGGGGACAGCTGGTACGTAAAGTGGATATCCTACAGCCTCATCCTCGGTACCAACCTCCTCCCTTCCACCTCCTCCCCTCTCCCCATTTGGCTGATGACGACGCAACACGCACTCACGCTCGAGGTTGTGTTGTGGTACGCACGGTGTGTGCGGTGTGTGTGTGTGCGTGTGCGTGTGTGTTGCAGGGCTGTGGAACAAGATCTTCTGGGGCGCCAACCTGAGCTTGTTCTTCATCCTCCCGCTCGCCTACTTCTACTATGAGGCCGAGGGACTGGGCGGCAAGGGCGCCCTCGCGCGGCTCTACGAGGCGGCCGTCGTGTTTGCGCTCGTGTCCTCTATGCTCGCCGGCCTCGTCTACCTCCTCTACAACTCCCTCTCCCTCCCCACCTCCCAGGTGCGCTGTTGCCCCCTTCGCCCGTGGGCTACGTTGTATGGTACGTGACCAACTGATCAGCTGACCTGTGTGTGCGTGTGCGTGTGCGTGTGCGGCACCACCACGATGACCAGTATCTGGTGTTTTCGTACTCCCTCATCTCGATGCTGGGGTCCCTCCTCTTCCTGGGCACGGCCCCTCTGGGCGTGCTGCGCCTGGCCTCCTACACCACCAAGCTCGCCCGCAACGGTGCGTGTCGCCTCCACCCTTCCTTCTCCCCCCCCCAACAATAATCTCGCCGCCGCATGTGGCCGGTTGGCCGCCGCCGCTCTTCCGCTGACCGGCTCTCGTCGCGTCACCACCAGTGCGGGGCGGATTGCCGCTTTCGCGCAGCAACGGCGCGGCTCCGCCAATCCATCCGTCGGCCCTGCCCTTCGAGCGAACAGCCCTCCGGGTGCACCTTGCCGGTACAGCCTGCATGCCCTCCCGCTCGCGTGCGTGCGTGCGTGCGTGCGTGCGTGCGTGCGTGCGTGCGATCGCCAACATCCGAACATGTGGCCCGGGCGGTTCTGTGTGCGGGACTAGAACGCCAGCTGGACCCGGAGGTTACCATTTCGCTGCTGCATCGACTCGACTCGTGCGATGCGCAGGTGCGACGCGAGGCGGCGTCGACGCGGTGGCGGGTGGTGCTAACGCACATCGCCTACGCCGCGTCGCTGCTCCTGGGCCTGGTCATGTCCCTCTTCGCCGGCTACATCGTTGTCCGCGTGGCCCTCCACCTCTTCGTGGGCCTCTTCCTCACCGCCCTCATACCCACCCTCGCCGCCCAGCTCCGACGAAGCATGGTACCGCCACCGCCTTCCATGCGTCTCCTCCACCACCACCTTGTCATCATCATCGTCATCGTCATCGTCGTCATCTGACTTCATCTGTGGTGCGGGCAGTTGGCGGCCTTTGCGCCGTTGTCGGCCCTGGGCACCCTGCTGGACTGCAGCGCGGTAGTGTACCTGATCCCGTCCATCCTGCTGGGGTTCTACGCCCTGCCCGGTACGCATGCCCCCCCATGGGACGACGACGTTTTTTCCTGTCGCGCGTGGCATACGTGCCTTCTTAACTCCCCCTCCTCCTCCCTCGCTTCTATCGGGCACTCTCAGGACTGGGCCGGCTTCGGCCCGTGGTAGGCAAGACCTCGATGGGCGGGGTGGTGGCCAACACGGGCGCGATGGTGCTCATGGCTTCGTCGTTCCCCGTGGTACTGCTGCCACCGCCCGCCTCCCTCTCTCTCTCTCTCTGCTTGTGAGCGTCCAGGATCGTCACGTGCTGCGTTGCTGGTTTTTCTCACACGGAGGCGGCGTCGCTAGGTGGTCGACCTGCTTGGCCTGTCGCGCCTGGATCTCATGGGCGCGTTCGGGTGTGCGTCGTACGCCCGCGACCCGTGGTTCGCCGCGTGCTACTGCATTGCGTTCCTCATCGCGTCGGTCGTGTCGTGTCGCCACTTCCTCTCCACCGTTCGATCGCCCATCCTGCCGCGATCCCCCGCCACATGGCACGCCAAAACCGCCTGACCGCCCACGCCCACCACCCGCGAGGGATGCCATCACCATCATCAGTGTGGTGGTGTGGTGGTGGTGGTGACGGCATCAGGAGCAGGATTTGCTCCGCGCCCTGTCCTACTTCCTCCACCCACCACCCCTTATTTATCGCTGGCTGCCTCACGCTGGCCACGGCCAAGAAGAGAGACCAGCCAAACAAGAGCCACACAGCCAATGGTGGGATTGGCTGACAGACAAGCAGCTTCTTGCCAGCGCCAAATACCTGTGGTTGTACCACCACACAATTCTGTGGGTACCTTTTAACAGATCATTGGGATGGTTCCATCTCAGAGGTACCTCTCACAATTAGTGTGTGCCTGAGTGCCAAGCAGCTCTACAGCACTGCTGTCCTCACCATACTTCTACATTGTCCCCATGGACTGTGGGTTTATAACTTCAACAAGGGGAACCTCAATGTGGGTCCTTCCACTGGATCAACACCACTGCTGTGGTCTTGGTGCTCTTCAAGGAGACTTTGCCCACCACAGCGCCTCTCCTGTGACCACCTGGCTGTTTTCTTTGCCTGTTGAAAGCATGGGGACCCATACACCTTTAACTTACCCACTGGGGCAGGTGAAGTCTTGCTGCAGAAACTTGCACTCATTGGAAATGAGAGGTCCAGTCATTTCAAAAAGTGATTTTGTTTGTGAGTTTAAGCCCATCTCTGGTTTGGACAACACAAAAATGGTTTTAATTTAAAAATAACAAGACAAAATTAAGAGCATCTTGAGATATGGCAGATAAAAATGCCACCATAATGAGAGATATGATGCTGTAACTGGGTCATCAGTCAAGGCCACATTAGGTTGGTGTGGTGTAATGGGAAAAGATTGGTGTAATGTGAGGCTTCAAGACTTGGTTAGCCAGTTGTTCTTTATTTTCTTCACATGGTGGTGATGTTCCATTGAGCACACACTTGAAAACACCATGTATGGAGTATGCAGTTTGATGAATTGGCCTGATCTTGATGAAGGTGGTCACCTTAGCCCTACCTGCACCAAAGAACTGCCTGATCTTGAGACACTAATTTGTTGGTGTTGCATACAGCACCTGAGGTTTGTTACAGATCCTGGTGTGGGCGATGGAGCACTAAGGCAGCAATGGTGGGTGGACTAGCTTCACATGGGGTCAGTCAAGGGTCTGGCGTGGAGCCCCACCAGTGATCTTCTTGCCACCTGCTCCTCCAATTGCACTGTCCACTTCCTTTGCCATCAATCATCCTCTCATCCTCCTCCTCATCTTTACAGATCATCATCTTTTTTTATGAAAGCAGGCTGGGGTCAGCTCATGGCAAGCAAATAAAGCACAGTTTATGTGATGATGGTGCAAACAGGAGCTGATAACTGGAGTGAGTGTGGAGGTGGAGGCAGTGGTGGATTGTGGGTAAAGGCTGGGGGGAGTGATGTAGGGCGAGTACAGAATTATGGCAAAGGTAAAGGTGCATGCACCTCACTCACTCGCTCACTGACGCCCATTGGGGAGTTGGATGGGAGGGCACACACCCTTGGGCAAGAAGAGTGCATGACCAGCCACCAGATTGCAATTGACCCAGAAGCCAAGCACTCTTCTTCCCCAAGGGGGCAGGGGTGAGGGAGGCAGAGGCACAGCAGCAGGGGGCAAAGGAGGGCAGCAGTGGTGGAGGGAGGCATAGGTGGAGGTGTGATGGCAGAGGCATGGCAGTGGTGGTGGGAGGCAGAGGCATAGTGATTGATGCTGCGTTCTTTATCTTCATTCTTCATTTGTATGTTTTTTGCACAATAAAAACAGATACACCACAGCTGGAGTACCACTCACCACCACAGTGAGGAGGATGGACAATGACAAGCAGAAGAGCAAATGACAGCAATCTTGTTGTTTCTTTATTGCTTCCAGTTGTGTTAGTAAATGACATGTCTCTCTTATTCATCTTGTGTACCTTTTTGGTTGGCAAAGAAGATTGGATTGGGCTGAGTTCTATCTAGTCAACAGTCAATGGGGTGGTGTTGTGTCATGTGCATGAGAGAAAAAAAGGTGGGGACTGGTCAGCAGCTTGTTGGTTGGCAGCACATTGGTCAGCCTGACCTGTTGCTCCAGTCAGCATCAGTACAGTTGCTGTGTAATGGCAAGGTTGTCCTTGAGTGCACAGTGTTCTGCGCATGCTCTCCATGTCCACTGCATGTGTTGGTGCAGCAGGTGATGAAGGAGGAGGAGGCCAGGGGGACCTGGGAAAACCAAAATGAGAAAGGTTCTGGCAACGAGTTTTATTATTATTTGTGGTTGGAGGACTGACAAAGTGTGGGGAGCCGCCACTTCGTCACGCTCTTATCATACACAGTGGCAGCAATGCTGTCGCACAGGTGGTAAAGATCTTGGGACAGTCAAGAAGAGGGAGGGAGAGCCGGACGACATCGGATAGCGCCTGGCGCGTTCAAAAAA